CATGTGCCGTAGGTCTGCTAGTGAGGTTGAAAATTAGTGCGGACCACCTAACGTCAACGGTGTAGTACTGTAGTACTAGTAGTTAATAGATGTAGAAAAACGTTGGCCTCTCGACTAACGACTAACGTCAACGGTGTAGTACTAGTAGTTAATAGATGTAGAAAAACGTTGGCCTCTTCCGATGATCGAAATCGGGACCTCCTGCACCCTAAGCAGGAATCATACCACTAGACCAAAGAGGCTTCTTGTTTTCCATTGTTTTGACAAATACCAAATCTATGAATACTACGTGACGTTTCTGACAAAATATTACCATATTACGGTCAATACTGTACGGTACTATTAGTACGTAGTACTAGTATATCGTAACCTCGAGCGACGCGTTGTTTGGGCAATGGTTTCACGACTGCTGTGTGGTGGGCACGCACTTCAATTCTGTTTTGGCGACGGTGCTAGCTGGCCAATTCAATACTGTGTTAGTTGCGGTTTACTATTCAGATCACTCACTCATGTTACTATTTTAATAGTATTGATATTAAAATATCAATCGTACCGCGCTATGGTGCACGTCATCTATAAACTACCAACTTTTCACAAAATTTTCTGACTTCTATTTCATATTCATTACTCAAAATTGCAGCAAATTGAGACGTATAATCGACAGATCTCTTTGTGTTGAAGTTATTCTTCGTCTCAGATTCAAATTTGGTGATGAATTGGTCCAGAAATAGATATTTAACCTAGCGGTATTTTACATGGGCGCTTGGATATTTGGCCATAGGGGTGGCCGCTCAGATGTATCTTGATTTTTGTATGTGACTCTTATCCGTATTTAATATCCGGAGGCAGTTGGGACCTTTAACATCCCACTCTAGTGATAAAACGCATGAAATCGGTATTTAACGTATCTGGATTTTGGGTTTAACTACATTAATTGCACGTTAAATAATAAAACCTCCACTCTTCAATTTGGCCAGTTGGAAGTTTTTAGATGAAGTGCACCATACCACGTATTGTGCTTTTCACTCGTTTTGGCTATTCACACCATAAACCTGGGTGTTTGTTACATCGACCCCAGTGTTTTAGATAATCCGTACCGTGATTTAGGATCACGTTTCGTTACAGAATGTAATTATAGGGGGGTCATTTATGCAACTCCCTCGCTTTTGCACATTTGAAAAGTGCAAATCGAAGTTGTATCTGCTATTCTCGAGGTATTTATTCAACCTTGTAACACTGTTACAGCAGAAGTACCACTCTTTTAGCCACGTAAAACCGACGCCAAAACCAATGAAAAGCACAATACTATTAATAGTACTACTTACTACTCACCTCAAAATTTGACTCATCTACACAATTTCAACGAAATTTGTACCAATGAGAAGCTGGGAATTCGGTGTTTTGCTTGATCATATCTACTGTCCGTTTGGGCGGAAGGAATGCAAGAATGGTTTCTCCCATAACTTTTACCCTAACGTAAAAAAACAGTTTAAGATAACTTACAATACGTGGTTAGGAGCGTAAGTTAGTACTTCCTCTGCTCCAGGTTACTGCCGACATTTACTTTGAATTGACACAGGCAATCGAGCCCTCACTCAATTTGGGCGAATGATACTTTGAAAAGGAATTGCATGAATTTTTGCAAACGATTGGTTTATAATCAGCGCTTAAAGCAATTGTAAGCCAATGAAATGTCATAAATGAAGAATTACAGCCAATGAAATGCAAATGTCGCCAGTAACTTGGAACATGCGAATTTTGAAATGTCGGCAGTAACCTGGAACAGAGCAAGTATTTTCTAACACTTCAATATTACTCTTGCACATGTGGCCTCTAGTACAGCACTAGTATTACTAGCTCGCTCTATGGCGCCGCTATAAGCTTCCTTACTGTATATACAACACACAACTTGTTTGAGAACAAACACAAGTGCACAACTCGGAGAGAAGGCGCGACTGTTTTTTACTTTTGGGCATCCAACGACGCAGCACCCGAAATGATTTCGATCAATTCGGTCGTGATGCGCGTTTGGCGGGCCTTGTTGTACACGGTGCGGAGGCTCGAGATGAGGTCCGACGCGTTCCCCGAGGCGTTCTCCATGGCGGTCATGCGGGCCGATTCTTCCGACGTGTTGGACTCCAACATGCCGTGGAAGATGGCGGTGGCGAGTTGGAATTCCTTCAAGTCGGCCAACACTTCTTCCTTGTTGTCCGGCTCCAACTCGTACTTGTCATAGATGTCCTTGGTGATGTCCACGGAACGCACGGATTGCAGGTACGAGATCGCCGACACAAACTTGTTAAAGATCACGTGCACCTTTTCGTCGCCATCGACACCGGCCAAGACGGCTTCGGCCAACGCACTCGCCTTGGCAAAGTTGGGGGGGGTGACCCACGCTTCCGTGGCATTCCCCTGGATGGACGACGCATGGGTGCGGCGCAATTGACCGCGGCCCTTTTCACCGATCAAGAACAACTTGGTGTTGTCCAAGTTGTCCTTGACTTGGAGACGGGTCGACTTGGCGATGAACGAGTTACACCCGCCGCACAACCCACGGTCCGACGTAATCGGGATAAACGTGTTGTGACCCGTCAATTCTTCCTTGGGGATCACACCATCCTTTTCGTACACGCGGATGGCACCATCGAGGTGTTCCAAGTACGTCTACACACATCACCATGTGCATAAATACCTTGCAAAAGATGAACACGAAGATATGCAAGCATACGGCGAAAGGGCGACCTTCGGCAAGGCGACGTTCAGCACCACGCATCTTGGCCGCGGACACCATCTTCATCGACTTGGTGATCTTGGCGATGTTGGAGGTAGCGTTAATGCGCATAAGAACTATGGACACACCACATTAAGACGCATGTTCATATCGATGTTGCCGACATACTTTGCTTCTCGGTGGCCATGCCACGGGCACCGGCGACCCTGGAAAAAACGACACACACATCTGCGCATGAGATACTGGAACAACCTCCATATACACATGTCATAGGTGTGACGTCAATGCACATACTTGATGGCGTTCACTTGGCGAGGAATCATCGACATGACGGAGGTCCAGAGTAAAATACGCAAGTGTTCCCCACCGCTCAGTCAGTAAGTGGTTCTGGGAGGACATCGTCATGGCAGCTTATGATTGGCTAAAATACCAAAATCGACGTAATCACGAGCTTGGATTGGACAAAACTACATGATTCAACTCAGTCAGTCCGTACGTCGTACGTACAATCCCGTACATTCCGAGCTGCTTTTATTTGACAAGCTTAATCCAATCGTACGTACACTACAATGAATTGAGTTACATACATATACATATAATAATAATACGAATGTACAATGTACGCCACGAATGTACGAGAAGTTGGGATCTTGTCAGTTACACCTTTGACCTGTTCTCGACTTCCCCATCCATCGCAGATCGCAGATCGCTCCCAGCAGAATGGGCAACGTGCAGGCGCAGGTGGGCCGTGTGGGAACCATTGGCCGACGCAATGTGGAAGTGGTCAAGTACCTTGGCGAAGGCGGGTCGTCCTTCATCTTCCTCGTCAAGGACACGGGAACGTCGCAATCGTTGGTGTTGAAGCGCCTCGTAGCCAACGATGCGGTAGGACGGACTCGCATGCAGCAGCGTGCTTATGGAGGTGTCTGTTGCTAGATGAGCATGGAACTGATCACGAACGAAATCGAGTTCCATCGACGGTTCAAGTACCCGTCGATCGTCGAGTTTGTAGACCATCAAATCCACAAGGGTCGCAGCGAAAGCGAAGTGTTCCTTCTCATGGAGTTCTGTCCCGGTGGCCACTTGTACGACAACATGAAAAAGATGGGCGACAAGCGCTTCTCCGTCGAAGAACTCGCGAAAACCTTCCGCGCGCTTTGTGTGTACGCCATGCCAATGCGATCGTTCCGTCGTTGATGTGTGCATGCTTTAGACCGGTGCAATACCTCCATCGACAAGAACCCCCCGTGGCGCACCGCGACATCAAGCTAGAAAACTTCCTCAAGTCCAAGTCCGGCGCGTACAAACTGTGCGATTTCGGATCATGCGTCGAAGGTCCTCGCCACCTCACGACCAAGGTACGACCTGTCTCCATTGAGTACCAAGTACCTCATTGAGTCCCAAGCAACTCCATTGAGTACCAAGCAACATTATTGAGTACTCCCGTGTGTAAACTACCGCAGTTCATCTTGTTGAAGTGCCTTCCTCCTAGTATTCCCCAGGATAAATCCTAAAAGTCCACCATTCCATTAGGAAGACCGCCGTACGGAGATCGATATCGTGGAGAAGCGCACGACTGCCATGTATCGCAGCCCCGAGCTCGCCGACATTGAAGGCACGGCGATGTTTGGCAACGCCGTGTTGACCGAGGCCGTGGACATTTGGGTAAATTTCCCAATGATACATTGATCTATGTTGGGTTGTTTCATGGGAAATTTTCCCAGGCGTTGGGCTGTGTGCTGTACACGATGGCGTTTTTCAAGCCGCCATTTCCCCCCGAAGGGCTGCGCACGTCCAAATACTCGATCCCCACGGGCCATGGCTATGGGAAGGACGTGCCGGAGCTTCTCAAGCGCATGCTCTGCGAAGACGTCGACGAGCGCGCCAACATTGACGAGGTGCTGGCCTGCTGTGACGCCGTTCTGGCCTCCCAGCCTCTGCCGAAGCGGGGCAGCGTGGCCAAATCGACGTCGCGCCCAGGGTCTGGCAGCAATTCTCGTACGAATTCGGCCGACAAGGCGGCGTTGGTGGGGAATGTGGATGGGGATTTGTCCCCATCAAGTGCTGCGATGGATTTGCTGGCTGCCGCGGCACCCGCCCCCGTGACGCCCCATTCAGGCGGTGGGTTTGCAGACTTTGCGGATTTTGGGAAATGCACCGTGTCAACACCCGCATTTGATCCGTTTGCACCTACGACGCCTTCCCCAATCCCGGCGACTCCATTGGGATTGACTGGGAATAATCCCACCGCCAAAGTCGTCGACTCGTTTGGGTTCCTTGTGAGCCCGACCAATGCTACTGTTGCTGGACGAGGGAAACAATCCGAAGGGCGCGATGGCTTTCAAGCGTTTGAAGACTGTTCCCCAAAAGCTCCGACCTGGGCCCAAGGATCCTACGGGAATTTTCCCCAGCAAGTAGGAGCAGGCTTTCCTCAACAAGGGGGGTATCCGCAAGGCACCAACAGCTATCCCCCACAAGGCAACTTTCCCCCACAAGGCAACTTTCCCCCACAAGGCAACTTTCCTCAACAGGGAAATTATCCACCACAAGGCAATTTTCCCCAACAAGGCAATCTCCCCCAACAGGGAATTTTCCCCCAACAAGGCAACTTCCCCCAAGGCAGTGGCTTTCCCTCTCAAGGGTTTCCAACTGGTGGGGGTGGGGCATTTTCCCAAGGGAACGGCGGGGCTAGTTTGCCCTTGTCCCCCATGGGTTTGCACAACCTGCAGTCGCCTCCCCCGTCGGCCAACAACCCAAGCTGGAAAAGCTCGTACGAGTTTAAGTTTTAACAAATCCATCATATCATAGTACAACCAGTCTGATGATATCTTGCTTCAAAACGTGCTAACTCGATCAAACAAGATGGCCCATCGGATGTCTTATATGTATATGTATGTACTAGGTACTGTTAACGGTACTATTACAACTCGTCGTGAGTAGCTTTGGGTGACGAACTCGACGCTTCGCCGCACACGATGGGTGTGGTGAGTGTGGCAGAGTACACGCACGTGCTCGGCTCTTCGACGTTCGTTAGCGCCGTCGTGTCCCCGCACACCAGAGTCACATGGAAGGAGCGCTCGGGGCCGTTCCAGCACTTGGCGCCTCCCGTGAACTTGAGCGCCGTGAGGGGCAACTCGATCGGTTGCATGGTGCTACAACCATCCACGGTTATGGACGATGTATATATATATATATTGTCGGTTCTTCGAAATTGGGGAGGGGATGCAATCGACCAAACCGATCCACAATTGATCTGATTGGTTGAATTTCATTGAGACGGTTTTGATTGGCTAATAATTCTGAGCTCATCTGAGGTAGCCAATCAAATCGATTTAAATTCCAACGAGAAACCACGCCACAACACGAAATTTCACTCGAAAGCACAATATATATATATATATATTGTCGATTCTTCGAAATTGGAGTGGGGTGGTGCTTGCTTTCAATTGTAGCAGCAGAAGAACCAAATCAATCGACAAATAATCAATCGACCAATCAAAACCCACAACACGACCATCAAGTAGCCAATCAAATCCACCCTTCGATTTGAACTCAATTACATTCAAAAGTCATCAGAACAAAAACTATTGATCGATAGAGTAGGCGAGAATCACCACAAAAGTCCAAATGTTGGGTGGACGATATATGCCATGCACAATCATACATCACGGATCCTAACTACGACGGGATATCGATTTATATATATATATATATCGATGGCATCACAAGATCCACGAGAAAACGAGAAGAATGTTTGTTTGGACTGGTGGTTTGTATACCCGAGAGACGTTTGGTCCTGGTTGGCTTGGCCAAAGTAGCACATTTTGTACGTGTACTGCCCCGACGTGGTGTCGACGCAAGAGTCGCGGAGGCTGTAGAGCACATCGTCTGGGCCGTAGGAACCGCGGAGGGTCGCGTCCAGCGACGTCAGTTCCGAGTCCACTTGCGTCGCTTTGGACTCGGCCGCCGCGAGCGCTTGGCGGGCCGCGACCGCCTCTATGAATAGGATGCAGTTTGTTATATATATATATATCGAATACGAGTTATATATTATATATATATCGAATACGACTTATGTACATATATATAGTATACGAGTTCAATATATGTTTCCCGGCTATGGGAAAAGACACACGATGGATGGTAGCAATATAACGTGTGACAAGGTACGAGTAGTAAGTAGGATGCAACCCAACGTCATACTAGGAGCATCATACTAGTAATACTAGTACACTTTTCATCACCGAATCACCACATGAAGAAGACAAAAGGGGATGATATGATTCTTCCCATCGTGATGGTCCCAGGTTCAACCCCACATACAACACAAACGAGGAAATTTCCCATCCCTGTCATCACCAAAAGGGGGATAAAACCCAACCAACCAACCTGGTCGGGAATTGGTCGCTTGGTTCGCCGTGAGTTCGGCAAACAGCGTGACGATGGGCCGGTCCGGCTTCGTGGGCAGCGGCACGGGCTCGTACTTGGACTCGTCGATTTCAACTGGCGCCGGTTCGTCCCCGTCTCCCGTCGGCACTTGGGCGGCTTCCTTGGCGGCTTCCTTCGCTTTGGCCAGGTCGGCGTTCAGGTCCGTGATGCGCGTGACTTCATTGCGATACGCTTCCTCGGTGAGCAAGTACGCCTGCTCTTGCTGCTCAATGACCGACTGATCCGAAGGTTGGATTCCTCGAAGGATGTCGAGAATGTCGGTTTTAACGTAGATTTTGTCGGTCAAGTCCAGCACCTACATACATATTTAAATGTGTGGGGAACGTATCCCAGTATCCCACTATAGACGACGATATGGAACATTCCCAACACTATCTGACGGATCCACACGGACTAGTGAATGGGAAAATTCCCAATAATCCCAAGATTCCCAAGATGCACAGGGAAAACGTTGAGCCATACCAGGTCCACGAGTTGGGTCGACGACATGTCCAACAATCCCAAGTGGGACGCGACCTTTTTACGAGTCGCACGGGCAGCTTCCTTTTGAGCCTGCACTTCCAGGGCTTCTTCGGCCGCCTTGGTCGCTCGCGCCGCCGTCACCGCCGTGTCCGCCGCCGCCTTTTCGACTTCTAAATCGGTGCGCTTGCGGAAATGCTCCTCCTTCTTCAACTTGGACGCGGCCACGACGTCGGCGCGCGCGTTGCGGCCCGCCGCACGGACGGCTTCCTCCGCTTGCTCCTGGAGGTCATACGCGGCGCGAAGGGTGGCACACGTGTTGGGGCAGGTTGAACTTGACTTGTACTCGTCGCTTCCGTCGCAACAGTCTGTCGTCGTCGGATGAAGTTGTTAGACATGATAACATGATATGGAGGCAATGTATTTACCGCAGAGGCCGTCGTTCACGCGCGACGTGGGAACGTCCGACGAAAAGTACCCGACGTTCTCGCAATGAAACTGGACCCCGGTATGCGAACACGCGGCAGTCCCTGGCTCGTCCGTGCCATCGCGGCAGTCACAGTAGTCGTCGTTCACGCTGCTAACGGGAATAGTCTTGGTGCCGCTGTCGCAGGTCAACTGGGCAAGACACGTCGTCAGATTCAATGATATTGTGGACGACACTAGTTCGTACCGACGACGCAAAGGCAATTCGAGCTCGGAAATCCGGCTTCAAGCCATATAGAATGCGTTCTTCTGAGGCAGTGCATTCCTTCACGGCCGTCATGGCCGCGACGGCCAGTAGCATTCGGAGCTGCATTATGTCGGCGTGTGATTTGCGGCTGGAAACTTACACTTGGCAAGTTGTGGAGGTGTCGCGAGGGAGTTAAATAGCCACCATGTCGATTGCGAAACAATATAATGCGAGTGCAAATAGAATTGTATCCAAGTAAGAATTATATGATTGACATTATAAAATGAAAGGAACCATTCGAAAAAGTAGGCAATTTACGAGCACCTAGATCGGCATACACGCACCACATTGCTGCTCAAATGAGTACTTTATGGAGTGGTTCATGAAAAAAGGTGCGTGTTCCGGGTGATGCTGGCAGTTCCGAGCACGATGATCCGAGCTAAAGTACTTCCGACAGTCCTGAACCAAATCCTCAGCGATGGCATCACGGCAGCCTTCCTCATGACGTCTGATGGAGCACTCTTGGGTACGGTGGGCTCGATGAACATCGAGGTGTCGTCGCTGCCCGTGGTGGACAACAAGGTCGTCGGCGCCATCGTGGCCAACGTGTGGGGAGAATACGCCGAGTCGGCCAAGGAAATCTTCGCCGACGAAACCTTGCAAGTGCTGTTCCTGCACTTTGACCAGAACAAGAGCCTCGCGATCGCATCCGCCGGGACAGGGTACCTCGTCTGTGCGTACTCAGACGGCACGGCTCCTATGGGGCTGGTCAAAGCACGACTGCAGGCGTTGCAGCCATTTCTGAAAGGCGCCTTGCAACAAATTCAACTCAACTAACATTGTTCCCTTGGTTAATCTGATGTTCGTCGACGTTCTCGCAACATTCACACATCCGATCATTTAGGACCGAGCTCAGTGCTTAGAGTGGACTGCCTAGTGGCATCTCTATTCATTCATGCGAATGGAAGCAACAGATCCTTCCGCGCTACTACTTATTTGGAATTCCACTACTGGTCACGACACACTCAAGACATGTTCTTGTCACGCAGCCGCCGCAGCTTGAATTGAGTTGGCATTATAGTTCGACTACTATATTCTAAACACACATGCACATACTGTAGCAGTCATGTCATCAGCCACTCTGAACGGCTAGAACTACCTCATCAAAGGCAACGCAAACAAAAAAGAAGTAAACTGATGATTGTAAGTACCGCATTGTTCTAGGGAGTTGCACAACTGGATGAGTTTGCACTGTGGGCAAAAGTGCACACCTTGTCCCTCTTGAACTACTACTACGTACTAGTAGTAATTAATGTACGGAACAAGGGATTCGATTCAGGCACTCGCGTGATAATAAACAACAACACAACGTACTACCACACTTTTGCAACTTGCCCAGATGTGTGACGTGGGCAAAGTACTGTACCAGAGGTTTGCCATCTATGTTTATACATACAAGGGAGTTCACGTTCCCTCGCTCTTGATTTGAGTGTGTAACCGATCGGCGTTTCAAGCATGGCTATCTTGGGAACCCCGTGACACGCTTTTCTGCCTGCTATATCCACCGCAATAGCAGAAGCACCAGCATGGCGATGTGGGCTGCCAACTCCCACGGTGGTGGCTCCACGTCATCATTGGGACGCCTGACGCTCGTTGTCGTGTTGGCCTGTTTTGTGGTGTTCCAGTGTATTTACTTCAACTCGTTCCTCGCGGTCTTATCCACCCATCGCATGACCCAAACACATGTCTACCTTCGCAACCAAACGTCCAACGCGTCATCTACCACCATCGACCATCCCCATGATTTGTACAACATCTCGTCTGCTACAGAAAGCACCCCTGGCTCCCAGCAACTATTTGAGCACAGCAACACGATCTTGCTGATCGAACCGAGAGATGACGGTGACGATATTGACGAACCGTATGTCCCCCCTTCGTCACCTGCTTTCGCTGGCTCACCTACCTCAATTTCTTCTCCCCCCACACCAACAACACCTATTCCCCCCAATCCCCCTAACCCAACAACAACATACACTACCACTAACCCCCCAACATCAACCACTGCACCCCCCAAGCCCCCTGAACCAACAACATATACTACCCCCAACGCCACTACAACTATTGCACCCCCCAAGCCCCCCCTCCCAGCTTTATCTTTGGCTGATGCCGTTTTGGCTACGAGTTTCCATGCACTTTTCGATCGACCCGATCATGCCGCGATTTCCACGACATTCCCGCAGGCCACGCGGGGCATCGTGCTGTCGCTTCATCATGCGATGGTTCCCATCGGTGCGTCTCTCGTCCGTGAGCTACGAGCACTGGGAAACAAAGACCCGATTCAAGTCATGCACTGCTTCGAAGCGGAGCTGCCCGAGGCGGACCGAGCGCTGCTGCTGGATATTAAGGACGCTAACGTGGAAATTATCGACGTGTGCTCGTTGATGGTGGCGGCGGACTTGCTGACCGCGGAGGCGGCGACAGATTTTCAAAACTACTGGCTCAAGCCACTGGCGGTGCTCGTGACATCTTTTGATGAGGTGATGCTCCTGGACGTGGACAACCTCTTCGTCCGCGACCCCGCCGAGCTCTGGACGACGCCACTGTACCTTGATACAGGCACTTTGTTCTTCTACGACCGCGTCCTCAACTTCAACTTTTGGCTGAACGAAGCGCA